TTTCTTTAAGTTCCTCACTAACATTAGCCTCCAGGTTTCCCTCTATTTTCGGTAAGTTTTCAGTGTGCTCTAACATGAAAACAGAAGCAAAATATTTGTTTAATGACTCTGCCATTTCTTTATTCCCCATTATAACTTCTTCTGTCTCTGCCTGCAATGGACCTATATTCAATTTTGATAGTCTTTTCCTCTGTATGTACTTGTAAAAACTCTTACAATCTGTCTTTATGTTCCTAGTTAGTTTATCCTCATATTCCATTTTTTCTTTCTCTTAATCGGTTTCTTGGTTTTCCTTTGCTGTTCTCTAAAGCCCTCCCAATTCTCAGGTTTACTGCTTTAACTGTAGCTGTAAATCTCCCTCCTCCCTCATAAAATGAAACCCCTGCCTCCTACACCACTCTTTCAGCCATGCTTTCAACTCTTTAATTTGTGTGTCCCTGTACCAATTTGCATGTGGCTCAGATAGTAATCTGGAAATTATCACCTTGGAAGTTCTTCCTTTTAGTTTCATTCCCAGTTCATTGAACTCACTCCTCCGGTTGTTGCTACTAGTCCTAGCCATATTGTTGGTTCCTATGTGGATCACCATAATTGGATCATCCCCTTCCTGCTTCAAATTCTTCTCCAGCCCTGAAAAGACATCCTTAATCCTGGCCCCAGGAAGGTAATAGAGCCTTCATGACTCCTGGTTGTGGTTGCAGAGAAGAGTGTCTGTCCGCCTGACTGTCTCATCCCCTATCATAACCAAATTCCGTTTTGTTCTGCCCACTTGTGTGGCCTCCTGTTTTGAGGTGCTGGGCTCAGTTTGCCCTTCCTCCTCCTTACAGACTTCCTTGTCCACACAGGTTTCAAGTACCTTGTACCTGTTGGACAAGGTTAAAGTCTGAGGCTTCTCCACCACTCTCTCTGGGGTCCCCTTACCCGTCTGTCTGTCAGTCACACTGTCCTGTCTCTGACTAGTAGCAGGATCCATAAATTTACTGAGCCTCAGGGGAGTGATCGTCTCCTGGATGAAACTATCCAGGAAGCTCTCATCTTCCCTAATGCTGCACAATATCTGTACCTCGGATTCCAGCTCAGCTACTCCAAGCTGGATCTTCCTCAGTTTCAGACACTTAATAATAATAATCCTTGCATTTGATATAGCGCTTTTCACGTCGGGAGGACGTCCCAAAGCGCTTCACAGAACACACTGTAAAGTGAATTGACTGTATATTTGTGGGTGAACGCAGCAGCCAATTGCGCACAGCAATGTCCCACAAACAGTCGAAGATTGAAAATGACTAATTTATTATTTTTTTTTGTTTGTTGGAGGGATTATTATTAGGCGTGTGGAGTAAGGAAACTTGCCCAAGGTTTCGCCCTGCCTGGAATTGAACTCAGGTCTCTCGCTTGCAAAGCTTGATGCAGATGTAGTCACCAGGGCTCAGGCTGCCCTCCACCAACACCCACATACTGCAATCATCGCACAACACCTGCCATGCCATTCTCTTCTCTCTCTCTCACTCTGGATTATGGTTTTTATTTAAGGTTTTTTTTTAGGTTTTCTTAAAGTTTTTTTTTCTGGTTCCCGTCTGTTGAGTGTGAGGTCACGTTGATGTCACTTGTAGTTTCTCTACAGATGCTCGCTCCTCCCTCAGAATTTCTAGGCACGAATGACGTACAAAACCCAAGATTAATTCTGCTTTGTGTTTTTCAGGCTGCATTTAAAAAAAACATTAATTCTGATGAAGGGCCAGGTTTATTTGCTGATAAAAAATAGCATTTTTTGAATAAATCCATTTTCCTAATGGCACACACACACATATTGCTGTAAATGACTTGACATTCCTGTGGCTGGAATAGAGCCTAAAGGGAGAACGGGGTTGTAGAACAGTGAGATTGCCATCCTGTATATGAATGAGGTTTACAACAACAACAATAACGTATATTTCGATAGCCCCCTTCAAGTACAATAATTTCTCAGAGCATCTCACATTATTGGGGTAGGACACCGAGAATCCAAAAGAAGGAGATGACATTAACAACAACAACAAAATTAAATTTGTATAGTGCCTTTCATGTTGGTAGGATGTCACAAGGCACTGGACAGGCAGAGTTATGGACCCGAGCTGGGGGTTGTGGTCGTGGAGGGTGGAAGGCGGGGGGGAAGCAGGGAAATCAAAAGCACGGCCGAAAAGAGGGTCCTGAGATGGGTCTCAGGAGATGGGAGGTAGCAGAGGTAGGCGGGAGCAAGACCATGGAGGACCGGGATCTTGAACTATATTCTTTGTGTGATGGAAAGCCAGTGGAGTTGGGCAATGATGGGGTGATAGGATTGCGGAGCCTAATGTGGGAGAAGATATGGGCTGCACTGTTCTGCATGATCTGCAGCCTGTGGAGGGAGGAGTTGGGGAGGCCGACAAGCAATGAGTTTGAATAGTCGAGCCTCGATGTAATGAAAGCATGTATTAGGGTTTTGGTGGTCTCCAGTATGAGACAGTGGTGGAGCCGGGCGATGTTGCCGAGGTGAGGAAAGGCAGAGCGAGTCATGGCGCAGATGTGGGGTAGAAAGGATAATAAGCGCGGTCGAAGCAGTAAGCTTTAAGATCCGATTAAAGACAGATAGAGAGAGTGTATATTTCTTGATGGAAAGGTAAATTGGGTCTTCTAGTGGAGATGAACTGGCTCCAAGGTGACATGGCAATGGAGTCAAGCCAGCCCTCTGTGGCGGTCTCTACTCCGGTTCCTGAACCAGGCGGGTCCGCAGTATTCCAGGGCACTGCTGATGACAGCACAACCAGCCTGGTTCATCGGCAGGACCTGGCAGACCAGTCACTGGGGATAGGGAATCCTGCCACTCGGCTCCTGTTAACCTGCAAGCCAAAGCCATAATGGATAGGATGGCCCTAGCTGGACAAACAGTGTGAAAGCTTGCTGGACAGTGCTATCAATGGCAAGCTGTACAATTTTAGCTGGTTAGACTCCAGCTGTACCCCAACTCACACTCTGGGATCCACAAGCCTTGGCTCTTGCTAACCTGTGCCTAATACTTTCCGGAATTAGGTAAGCAGGATGCATCCCTCCATGGAGAGAGTGCGCATTCCATTCCAACAGTCTATCTCTGGAATTTCCATGTTAGGTGGGATGCACAGAAATCTCAGCTTAGTTTGAATAGTCTTAAGCATGGTGATGGGTTTCCACCTATGTCAGACAACCAGCTGACCAGAGCAAACGAAAAATAGAGAGGGGATGAGGTGAATAGAGGGAGAATCAGAGATTCGGGGCATAGAGTCTGACGTCTTGGCCACTGATAGTGGCACGGAGAGTGCAGGGGCCCACAAGTAGGTAATATTAACTGAGTGGAAGGGACGAGAAAAGGAGTCGGGTACGAGCAGAGCAGAGATGAGGAGATGCTAGGGGTTGAAGTAGGGTAGTATTAACTGCTAGGGATTGAAGTAGGGTTGATGCTAGGGGTTGAAGTAGGGTAGTATTAACTGAGTGGAAGGGACGAGAAAAGGAGTCGGGTACGAGCAGAGATGAGGAGATGCTAGGGGTTGAAGGGATTCATGTGTGAGCGTGAGGACCTTGAAAATGATCTGATTGGAGTCGGGAAGGCAATGGAGCTTTACGACGATGATTTTCCTCCAACAACTTCCTGTCCATCACATTAGTATGTAGAATATTAAGACAGCAAAACAAGATGAACAGAATAGAGGGAGGATCTGTCGTTGAGCGTTTAAGACTGCTTCAAGAGGATGATTAATTATGAATCTGGGTATGAGGGTCAGTACCTCCACTCCCAGACCAGCATGAATTGATCCCCTGCATATCTGAAGATGAGGATAAAATATCCACAATGCATAATCAAGGCAGCATGCTGTTTTGTCACTCAGCAAAGCTTCAGCTTTTACCGATTGCACAATCAGGCTTGCTGGTCCTATGGGAGGAATTGCAGTGAGCTCTTGACTTAGAGTTGAGACATTTATTGAACTGTTAAAGTAGGTACACAACAGGCAAGAGATCAGGCTCAGTGTGAAATGTCAGTGAGCTTGATGGCAAAGCTGATTATGCTCAGTTAGTCAGCTGCGAAGTGTATTGCATTTAGGAATTGCCATTGCTGCAACAACAACCTGAATTTATATTGCTTGTTTTACATAGGAAAATAACTGTGCTTTACAGTGCTTGGTCAGATACCAAGCAGGAGGAAGGGGAGATAGAGATAATTATAAGTGTATTTGAATAGGCAGGTTTTAACTAGGGATTCAAAGATGGATAGAGAGGGGGCGAGATGTACGTTCTCAAAAAAGCAGGCTCTCCTTGGAGCTTAGCTGCCTCCAAAGTGATGTGCTAAATAATAGAATGTTAGAATTGAGCCTCAATGGTTGTCTCGATAATCCCGTTCCAGAGCCAGGGCATTCATTGCTAATAACAGACCAGTCAGCCAGGCTTGTCAGCGGGACGTGAATAGGCAGACCAGTCACTGGGTGGAGGAATTATTCCCACTCAGCTCCAGTTAACCCTGCAATCCAATGCTCTATCTGGTCGGGTGATTTCAGCTGAACAAACAGTAGGGTGGTCTTAGCCACACAAACAGCAGGAAACTTACCAGTCAGTGCTCTCAAAGACAAGTTATGCAGTTTCAGTTTGTTAAACACCAGCAGTATCCCAATATATAATCTGGGATACCCAACCAAACCTTGGCCTTTTCCAACCTGTGCCTAATACTCTCTCATATTAGGTAAGCAGGGTATGTCCCCCCAGGGAGATAGTGCACATTGTATTCCAGACAGAGAAATATGTTAGAAACTTAGAATCTGAAAATTTATCCACTAATGATGAGACGGAGAGGACCAGAATGGTGGGGACAAGCATAGGATTGGGTTAGAAAAGATCAGAGAGGCAGTAAGGCAGTAAGTGTTAGTACCTGAAAGGAAGGTGAGGGAAGGTAACAAAACTTAATATAATTGAGTAAAGCTAAAATGAATCATTGCCAAAAAATTGTCTTGCTTTAATTACAGGAAATGAAAGTCTGGAAGAAAATTATGTGCAAGACAGTAAGATGGGCTTCATCATCAACGCCATCTACGCCATGGCCAATGGACTACATGACATGCACAAAGCTCTGTGTCCAGGTCACACGGGACTTTGTGATGCTATGCGACCCGTTGATGGCAGCAGATTATTACAGTTTTTAATAAAGACTTCATTCATTGGAGTTTCTGGTGAGGAAGTTTGGTTCGATGAGAATGGAGATTCTCCTGCAAGGTAAATTAGCTGACAAATGCCAGTATTGTTTGAGATATATTATCTGGATTGATAATGTGTTGATTTAGTTAATAATGTAAACTAACTTGCATACTTTTCTCAATGATAAACTGTTTTGTCCTTTTTCTGTTGCATTGATGTAGAAACATAGAAACAGGAGTAGACCATTCAGCCACTTGAGCCTGTTCTGCCATTCTATAAGATCATGGCTAATCTGTACCTCAACTCCAATTACCTACCCTATTGAATCACTATTATTTTTATAACCTCAATCAAAACACCCCACAACCTTCTATAGTCAAGGGAATAGAGACCAAGTTTAGGCAACCTGTCCTCATAATTTAACCCTTTAAGCCCTGGTATAATTCTGGTGAATCTGCAGTGCACCCCCTCCAGAGGCAATATATCCTTCCTGAGGTGCAGTGCCCAAAACTGAACACAGTACTCCAGATGGGGTCTGCCCAAGGCTCTATACAGTTGAAACATAATTTTCTCTCCTTTATATTCCAGCCCCTTGAGATAAAGGTCAACATCCCATTAGGCTTTTGATAACGTTTTGAACCTGTGAGCTTGTTTTTAGTGATTTGTGTACGTGGGCACCCAAATTCCTTTGTTCCTCCACAGTTCTTAGTTTATCACCATTTAGAAAATATTCTGTTTTGCTATTTTTGGATCTATAGTGGATCACGCTTACCCACATTGAATTCCATCTGCCACAGTCTTGCCCACTGACTTAATCTATCTTAATCCCTTTGTAACTTCCTGCTCCCATCTACACAATTTATTGTACCTCCTAACTTTGTGTCATCTGCAAACTTTTATATATAAAACTTTCTATTCCTTCATCCAAGACATTTATATATATATATATGTTGAAAAGCTGAGTACAGACCCCTGGGGAACACCACTTGTCGTGTCTCCTCAATCAGAAGAATGTTCCTTTTATCTCTACTCTCTGTTTCCTGCCTCCCAACCAATTTCCAAGCCATGTCGCAAGGTTACCTCTGTACGTAAGAATGTTTAGAATTGGAGAAAACCTTGAGGCACTCCCATTATAAAAGGTCTCAGCCCCGGCTTACCTGCACTCACTCCATATCTCTCAATCTTTTCTCTTTGCAGAAACCAATCTTGTTCTTTCTTGAATCCATTTATACTTCAATGTCGGCTTCAATCATCTTCCCGGCTAACGTTTCCACAGGCCTATTAACCTTTCTGTAAAAATAATACACCTAAATTCCAACTCTTTATGTTGTGTCCTCCGGTGTTTGAAACCTTCATTATTCAGAATTTTTTGATTGGATCAAACTCATTCCCTTCATGATCTCCTCTCCAAAATGCATGTGACCATGACATGCTATCAGTCTCAGTAAAACTTATTTCTAATTATTTAATCTTGTTTAATTCCACATCTAAAAGGAGATTGTAGAGCAACCTTTATATAATTTTCCTACAAGACAGAGTCACATTTTAACTTTACAGTAAAAATCTCATGAAGCGCTTTTAGACATCCTCCTGACATAAAAAGCACTATACCAAATGCAATAATAATTTATCATTAAAAAAATCAGCAAACGCAAGTCAAAATTTACATACAAAGTGCAAATTAATTTGGAGTTTATACTACACTATACTATACTGTTCCACAAAGTGTAAGACTTATCTTCTGTACTAATTGCCTAAAAGCTTAAGAATACCCTTTATGCCACTCAGAATTCAGGCCATGCAATTACCTCCATACTTAATAGCTTCACCATGTGTACAGACAGGCATCAGATCCTTTCTCTCCGACAGTGACACGCATCAGAAAACTGCCATCGAAATATCTTTTTAGGATCCTCTGCAAATCCTTCAACTTGAGTTTTTTCATTCGAAATGGCAAACATATTGAGGCTAAAAACTGCAGTAGTGGTGGCTACTGTAAAAGCTGAATGAATAATATGTTTAAGAGAAAATGTCAATGGACATTGTCGTCTTGAAAATCAATCAGCATTATTGTCCTGTAAGACCATCTAACAAAGTATTAGCAAATGGTTATATGGTATACGAATGTAGGCAGTTAAATTCCTGCAAAATTGTTTTGAATTTATACTTGAGTATGTGCTTACAGAAGATCAAAAGGTGTCATATTGCTTATGTAGATTGAATGATAAAAGAGTGAATGATCAGTGAAGCCTCTTTTCTGCATTACCAGGTATGATATTATGAATCTTCAAGGTATAGGCAGCTCGTACAGCTATATCAATGTGGGAACATGGTTTGAAGGGTTTCTAGATATAGATGACAACAAGATTCAGATGAATATGACTGAGATGGTTCGCTCTGTGTGTAGTGAACCATGCACTAGAGGTGAAATCAAGGTGAGTTAAACTGATTCTTCCCCCCAATTTACTGAATTACATATGAATGGTAAATTACTGGCTTGCTTTAATAATAATAATAATCCTTGCTTTTCGATATAGCGCTTTTCACGTCTTCTAGATAATAATAATAATAATCCTTGCATTTGATATAGCGCTTTTCTCGTCGGGAGGACATCCCAAAGCGCTTCACAGAACACACTGTAAAGTGAATTGACTGTATATTTGTGGGAGAACGCGGCAGCCAATTGCGCACAGCAGTGTCCCACAAACAGTCGTGGATTGAAAATGAACAATTTATTATTGTTTTGTGTTGGAAGGATTATTATTAGGCGTGTGGAGTAAGGAAACTTGCCCAAGGTTTTGCCCTGCCTGGAATTGAACCCAGGTGTCTTGCTTGCAAGGCGAGTGCTCTAACCACTGAACTACAGGACTCCGCAAGTGTAGAAGTGTACATTCAATATCTTTCCACTCAAAAGCACTGAGCAAGGAATTGCTTTCCTTATTTTTCCATAGGTTATTCGAAAAGGAGAAGTGAGCTGCTGTTGGATCTGTACTGCCTGCAAAGACAATGAATTCATGCAGGATGAGTTTACCTGCAGGTCCTGTGGTTTGGGATGGTGGCCAAATGAAGACCTAACAGGTAATAACATGGTTTAAAATGTTCCCACGATCTGCACATATTGATGGACCGTTTCTAACAAACCCACCTTTTTCGGGTACGAGAAATTAATTTGTTGCATTTCAACTATAAAAGATGTTGGAATTGTCGGTATTTCTATCACCTTGACCATGTGGCATTTCTGTATATCATTTTTCTTTTTTTTTAAAAATCAAATTTTCATAACTTTTTATCCCTTACCCACCAGATTAGGAGATTATCATATTACATCTATTAAAAAGATGAGAGTAGCATACACAATTTCAAGAGGTTCAAACTAAAAAGGCCTTTCAGACCATTTCATCACATCCTTCCAGAATTCCCATCCTACTGTCTTCCCATTACAACACTGACTTGTCTCTTAAAAGAATGCAGCATCCTCACCTTCCTTCTTTGTAATCCATTCAGGATGTTAATTAGCATCAGTGCATTAAAAATAATGCTTTCTGGTGTCAGCCCTAAACAGGTTTCACAACTGTGACCTATGTCCTCATCTTATTAACATTACACAATCACTTATTCAATATTCGCGGCATCAAGGTTGCATGTTAACTTATTCAAGAGAGTATTCCAGATACCTATTCCAATTGCTGACTAAAAATAATCAGAATCATTTGTTCTACGTGCAACATTTTTTTTGAATCTCTGTAATTTGTAGTTACCATCAGAGCACTTTAACAGACTATCTTGCTGATAAAGTTGCAATTCCCTTGAGTCCAAATGGAATATACTAAGGATGGTTTGATTCTTTTCTTTATTCAGCATCAACATTCCTCCAACATCTGGACTGCACACTTGGAAAAATATCTGTTGTCAATTCCACATACCATTGAGTAGTTTTGTTGACGCTTGTCTCTCTCTCTGGTTAATTGTCCACAGAGGAAAATGTAGTGTTTCCTCTTTAATAATAATAATCTAGACGTCTCAAAGTGCTTCACAGAGTATGCTGTAAAGTGATTTGACTGTATATTTGTGGGCGAAACGCGGCAGCCAATTGTGCACAGCAGTGTCCCACAAATAGTCGTGGATTGAAAATGATCAATTTATTATTGTTTTGTTTTGGAGGGATTATTATTAGGCGTGTGGAGTAAGGAAACTTGCCCAAGGTTTTGCTCTGCCTGAAATTGAACCCAGATGTCTCGCTTGCAAGGCGAGTGCTCTAACCACTGAGCTACAGGACTCCATGGTCAATTGACTCTTTGGTCAATAAAGATATGAACTATTCCTTCAATAGAACGGCCTGGAGGTAGTACCATTTTTTAAAATATATGTTGAAATGTGCTACTCTTCTGATAAGTTGGCCTGAATTTAAAGGCTTCTTATACAATTATCGCTTTCAGGACCTCTTTCTCTCCAGAAACAATGAGCTCCACTGCCACATGACCATCACTTGGAGTATGTTTCGGGATGGGTGTGGAGTAAAAACAGACACAGCAGGATTTCAGCAAAACTTTTGCCTTTTAAGCTGTGGTTGTTCCTCGGTCTTTTTTTTTTTGACCTTTTTTTCATCCCCGCTCCCTCTGGAACTCCATCCTAGTGTCACTTTGCCTCACCCCCTCCCTTATTTCCTTCAAGGCCCATCTCCAAACCCGTCTCTTTGACTGAGCCTTCGGTCATTCTCCCACCTCTGTCCTCCTTGCCCTCCTCCCCTCTTGATCCAACCCCCAGCTCAGGTGCAATCCCTTGACTGTTCAGCACCTTGGAATGTCCTCCCGATGTGAAAGCTGCTTTATAAATGCAGTTTGCTATTTTTGTTGTCGTTGAACCCAAACACAAACACAACATAATGTAAAAATACAAGCTTGTTTCTAAAATAGGCTGCCAAGTCTGCAGTGAGCGAAGAGTACAGTTGAAAGTACGTGATCTAAAGCGCTCACATGCTTCTCTTCGAAAATTTGGAGAAAAATGTTGTGAATGCAATTGGCCTATCATGTGTCTTACTGCATTACAAAGCTCACATTGTGTTGCTCAAATGTTGTTGGAATCATTTTTAATTTGAAAAATCGTGGTTTAGGAAAAAAGTTGTGGTTTTAACACAATACAAATATATGGTGAATAGCTCTTAAACTCAAGCTCACATTAAAATGTCCTGCAACTCGTTTCTTCAGAACCAGTGGAACAGCTTCCTTTAGTAGAAACATTGCAGGTTTGCAATGAATAACACAGCGACAAAGAACTATAAGAAAGGCCGTTCAGTCCAGGGACAATCAGGAAAAATGTTTCCTTATGTTGGGTTTAATTGTTTTAATGGGGAGTAGGAAATGCCTGCATTGCGTGATGGGGCACATTACCATTGTGGACAGACAAGTAGCAGGGGGTATTTCAAGTACTTGATAATTAAGCAACAACAATAGTTTACATTCTTATAGTGTCTTTCACATCAAGAGGATGTCTCAAAGTGCTTCAAACAATGACTGGATCTCTGGAGAGGTGGAGGAGGAGGCCAAAAAATACCATCAAAAAGATGGTTTTGAAGGCCAGAAGGGAGGTGGAGGGACTCTGAGAGTTCCAGAGAACAGGGGCTGAACACTCATGCATGTACAGTGAGGTGGATAGCGCAGGGGATATGAAAAAAATGACTGAACAGAGGAGGTGACCGGGCCAGTAAGTTTTCAGTAGGTCACAGCAGGAGACTGGTGCAAGGCCGTAGAGGGATTTCAAGATGTGGATGAAGATCTTGAATTTGATCCATTGGGGAATGGTGAGCCAGTGTAGCTGAGCAAAGATGGGGTGGTGGGGGAATGAGCTTGCAGAGCTTGGTGCAGAAAAGGACACAGGCTGCAGATTTCTGGGTAGTTTGCAGCTTGTGTTGGAATGATCAACAAAAATAAATCCTCCTGGGCTAGTTCTACCTGTGTAACCTGCAGAGCTAGCAGCATTTCAGGCATGGGCAGCACAGTCACCCTCTAGCCATATCTGTCTTACTATGCTGCCCAAAAATTAGACCAACCATCTTGCAGTGGTAATAGGGATGCATTTTTGCCAAGCATTGCCTGCCTATTCCTGTCCCATATAATAACTGCCTCTAGGCATTCCTGCTGTTTGAACTTACTGTCACAGTGACAGTCAGACAATGCTTTTGCAAACCAGAGCTATCCCCACCTACCCTAAGGTATAAAAGCCAGTCTGTTCCCTATAGTGAGAAGAGCCTGTTTTATTTTGTGCATTTTTTGTTTTTTGTTAAAAGACGTTTTGTTCCCTAACAAATATATTACTATTATTGCTCTATCTGGTTACCGCTACTGCTGATACCGTACTCTAGAACCAGAGCCCATAAAGGTCATCACAGAAGACCCAATGCCTCCCAATCCAAAGATCAAGTGGCCGCGATGTCATATTGACAGATTCACAAACCTACAAATTAACAGCTGTAGTACTGCAGCTCAGGATAAATGCAAGACAGTGTTCATGTCTAATAATTAGAAGCAGCATTTTTAGGATGGCTTAGTTGGATCTCTCAAGAAAGTACAGCAATTAAATTAACATGGGCAGCAGGATAATTTATACCGAGCTCCACTGCTACATGAGCACTGGGTCCTGAATAGGTAGGAAGTGAAGTAGTTGTCACGAACATTGGTTCAGCCTCAAGCCTCAGATGGACCTGTGGTCTTTTTCTCTGACCATCATGGCCATAGGAACAATGCTGTCTAATTTTAGCACTGTCAAGTGTGAAGACGACCAACAAAATGAAGAGCAATACCGTATCAGTTAGTGGTTCCTTCCTAGTCATAATTTCATTGTATTCAAAATAATGTTTTATTTGTCAAGTTTGCCTTAGAGCTACACTCCATTTGATGTTTCCAGATACTATTTCCAATGGTTGTAATATTGTTTTAATTTTGAAATATAACATTCCTGCTTGGGTTTTAAGAATACATGCAGCAGTGTTAAAGTAACTGTTAATGTTTGCATACATGAAGGAAAAGAGAACAGGGGTACAGGAGAAGGGATTAGATGTTGTAGAGGTTCATTTGGAGTTTGAACACTAGTTGGATTGGTTGGGCTGAATGGCCTGAATACTGTCACATTCTCTGTAATTCTATGCATTCAGAGAATATTGCCATCAGCGATGCTTTGAACACCCAGGGTGACTTTCAAGCAAGATGTAGATCAAACAGCAATTTCTCAATTTTTATCTGATTTTCAATTTTCTGCGATCAATATCAAGGAGATTGTACAGTGATTGGATTTGTCCCTAGAACCCGTCACTGGAAATCATCCTTACTGACAATGTAGGCAATATTGACAAGACAGTGACAGATGACTGTTTGACCTGCTTTGAACAATCTCTCAGCCTGATAAACTTCAGGTAGTAAACTTCAATTTGGTTTTAATATTCAGGCTCACAGTTTCATAGCTCTCTTTCTCATACACCACTTGCTGAAGTATGGAGAGACAAACCACTATCCATTAAACATCACCTCTCACATACTGGAGTAATGGCTGCAGCAAAAATATGGCCCAGTGGTTTATATTTTTAGAATTAAAGGTAAATGGCCACCTATCGTTTGGAAGCATTTCAGTGATGAAGATGCTGCGATAGCTTCAAAACTGAGTGTGAGACTCATGCAAATTGTTATAAGCCTGTAGTCATAGAAGTCCTTGAGGTTCTCTTTCAGGGATGGGGTGACTGAGGTAAATCAAAGGAGTGTTCAGACTTTGCAGGGGAGAAATTCTGGAGGTGAAATCATTAAAGAGTTGAAATAGAGTAAAATAAGTTGAACTTTTATTAAACATCACTTGACTAGCACAGTATATACAGTCACTGCACTTTACAGTATGTCCTGTGAAACACTTTGGGATGTCCACCCAACATGAAAATTTGTACACCAAATATAAGCATTATTATCATTAATAAAATGTACTCTCTAGCCTTGCTCACATTATCTAAAACAATCATGGCAACTTAAGTACTTTAAGACGTTACAACATATGGACATATCCAAATATGTGACCCAAGAGAAAGTCTTGGGTCACATATTTGGGTAAGGTAGGGTAGAGTGGAAGGCTATGGGGGGTGGGGGGGGGGTTTCAGGATGGCAGTGGAGGTCACATCTTTTATCTTCATGAAAGTTTTTTTTATTCTTACTTACTTGTCTCACCACTAGAATTGCGATTGAAAATGTGGGGTGTGTAAAGAGATTATTCTTAGTTCTTATATACATTTTAAAAAAGTGGGTGATAGATACAATACAAAATCACATTTGTAAAGCACCTTTCATGTCAGGAGGACGTCCCAATCTCACTTGCTGACAAATATAGTAATCTTCCAGTTACTGTCAAAGTCCCTTTAGTCGGCAGAGTGTGGAATGTTACCATTCCCCAGCCCTAGATTGTAAGTGCCATTGAAACCTATATATATGGTATGGTAGGCTGGCTCAGCTGGAAACACTCGTGCCTCTGAGTCAGAGGTCATCGGTTCAAACCCCACATGAGGCCTTGGAACTCATATAGCCAAAGCTGACACTTCAGTTCAGTGCTGAGGGTGTGCAGCATATTGGAGGTGCCATCTTTCAGATGAGATATTAAACCGTGGCACTTTGGGGCGTTCTCATGACGTGAAAGGCACCATACATGTGTGATTTATTGTTGTTGAGGCACAAGCTGTCTGTTAAGATGGACAATAAAATTCCTATGGCATTAATCATAATGAGAACGTGTCCTGGCCAAAAAATCTTCCAAATAAAATTGGTCATTCACTCCATGACTTTGTGGGATTTTGCTGTGCGCAAATTGACTGCTGCAATCTCACACAATTCACAGTCACTCACTTTACAATATATTCTTTGACGCACTTTGGGATATCTTCCTGATGTGAAAGGATACCAACTGTAAGGATTATTATTATATGCAATTGAAAAAGTGGGTAAATGGTTTCTGACCCATTTTCTTTTTGTCTTTCTTTTCGTAGGTTGTGAAAGACTTCCTGTAAAGCACCTCAAATGGAGTCACGCAGATGCTGTTGTGGCAGTAGTTTTCTCTTGTTTTGGAATCCTTGCCACCATGTTCGTCACCTTTATCTTTGTGCTCTACAGAGACACCCCAGTTGTCAAGTCATCCAGTCGTGAGCTCTGCTACATCATTTTGGCAGGACTTTTCCTGGGTTATATCTCTCCATTCACATTAATTGCCAGACCAACTATCGCTTCCTGCTATTTCCAGCGAATTTTAGTTGGGCTTTCCTGTGCCATGTGTTATTCCGCATTAGTCACTAAAACTAACCGTATTGCCAGGATTTTGGCTGGAAGCAAGAAAAAGATCTGTACTCGGAAACCAAGGTTCATGAGTGCTTGGGCCCAGGTTGTGATTGCTTCTATATTGATTAGTGTGCAGCTAACAATAGTGGTTACACTGCTTATTCTGGAGCCAGCCTTTCCTGTTCTCTCCCACCCAAGCATTAATGAAGTATATTTGATTTGTAACACAAGCAACCTGGGTGTTGTGGCCCCGCTTGGTTACAATGGGCTTCTCATTATGAGTTGCACCTACTATGCCTTTAAGACACGAAATGTCCCTGCAAATTTTAATGAAGCTAAATACATAGCTTTCACTATGTACACCACCTGTATTATATGGCTCGCATTTGTTCCAATCTATTTTGGTAGCAACTACAAGATTATTACCACCTGCTTCTCAGTGAGTTTTAGTGTGACGGTGGCCTTAGGATGCATGTTCACTCCAAAAATATACATTATCATTGCAAAGCCAGAACGGAATGTCCGCAGCGCATTCACTACATCGGATGTTGTCCGTATGCATGTGGGGGATGGAAAAATTGCCTGCAGATCCAACAGTTTGCTAAACATGTTTAAGAGGAAAAAAACCACATCTGGAAATGCAAGGTAAGCAGCAGCAGGTATGACTGTGTATTGTGTGTAATATTGAATCTTATGAATCATTCTAATTTACATGTTTGGGTTAAATGTTTCGGCCTTTATTTTTCTCTCCTTCCAATTTTCTCCCCTCTTCGTCTCATCTCCCGAAGACCTTTGATTCCTTTTTTTCCTTCTTCCGGGGACCAGTTCCATGGTGCCGGGGAATTTGCCCAAGTAGCCATTATTCAAGGGTGAGCCTCGACAGTGAGTGTTTGGCACACTACTTGTCTATGATTATTATTACCTGCATCACAATCATGCCCAACGCTGCCCTAACCAGTCACCTTATGTCCACAGACCTTCTTGTGGTGGGTCTTTGGATAGGGATCAAGCTGATCTTTTGACCTTCCTAATCCAGAAACGCTGAGACCAATTGTCACTCCCTATCCCCCGTCATGGCTGTGATCAGCTAACTCAGCACAGACCGAGAAATGAACCTGTGTCTTTATCAATAAGACCATTGGTGAACTTGTTTGGGCTTTTATAACTGAAATGTTTAACCAAATGTTAAACGAGTCACAGAATATAAATGGAAATCCAACCTGTGACTGATAAGAAAACAATGTTGTTATTGGGGAATGGTTGGGACTGAGAATAATATGAGTGATTCAGTCCTTAAAACTGGTAAGATCAGACATATGGAAATATTTTCTTGAATTGTTGCCCACCAATGGTGCAATAAAGTGTATATTACTAAAACAAGTTGGTTAAAAATGCAGTTCCTTTTATCTTATTTTTCAAATAATTGATTCCAGCGAAGAACTTGAAAAACGGAGTTATTAATTGATATGAAAATGGAAACACTGGCTTGGTAGCTCAAGGAGAGGCTATTGTGTTGTCTGGTGCTGAATGTACAAGTATCACGGAACATCACTGTCTTCTTAGTCATATTTAGAATACAAACCAGACTAATGCAATTTGAATCCACCAATCTGAACATGTATGTCAATCAGTAGGTTTGGAATGAGTGTCCTTGACCCCAACCAAGAAAAATACATCACCTCGAGGCACCCTCCAGACAGAATGGTTTGTTGATGCAAGAGGATGTTTCAATTCCATCCAAATATCTCCCATTCATATTGACTAAATAGAAGAGTGGGAGTTGCCAGCAGCACTAACATTCTTATCTCACAGCATTTTGTGCAGTTGTTAACTGGTCTTCTATGGTGCCAGAGAACTTGTCCAAGTAGCCATTATTCATAAGTGAGCCCTGACAGTGAGTGTTTGGCACAGTATTTGACTATGATTATTATTACCTGCATCACAACCATGCTCAATGCTGCCCTAACCACTCACCTTCATATCCACCGACAATAATTAATTCCAATAGTTTCAATAATTTTGGACCATTAAGTGGCGGATCTTTGCATTGGGATCAGGCTGATCTGTGGCCTTCCTAATCTAAGAATACTAAGGCCAATTGTAACTCCCGGGGTTATTGTCTACCTTGAAGAATGTTCTCCTTGTGTCCTATTGTGCCCAGTGGTGATTTCCCTTATGGGAAGCAGCTTGAGAAGGAGAGGCTTGAAAGAGTTTGTGCTCATCTGTCATATTGAGGGAATGAGGACGGTGATGAATCTCAGCACAAACCTATACCGGTGGGTATCCTGCGATAGGAGGATTGCATACTAGCCTCCATTACCCATAATATAGCCAATAATAGCTCAGTTTCCTACATCAATGCAACCTAGAAAATTCCTTCCAATAATCAGAGACCATTAAAGTCAGTTTTTATGCACAAAATCAAAAACTCAGGAATGTTTGAGTTTTTTAGCAGGATCTTATTTTTGCTATTAATAAATGTAAGCACATTGGGATGGAGGAAGGGGAGAAAAATGTAATATAAATAAATCAGGATAAAAAAATCGCAAGGGAAAAAGCCAGATACTAACAAAAGTATTTGCCCATAAATATACAGTCAATTCACTTTACAGTATATTCTGTGAAGCGCTTTGAGAACTCTAGAAGACGTGAAAAGCGTTATATCAAATGCAAGGATTATTATATTATTAAAACGATTACCTTTCTTTTGTTTTTTATTAAAAGAAACATACGTTCACAGATTAAGGCAACAGCAGCTGTTTTTGTCTTGATCTGTGTTTTTTTACATGAAGCATTCCCTGAACTTGTAGGGTTTGGGGAGGTGTGGCAATATTGCGGACACCTAATAAAAATCATTGAATTTTTTTTATAAATGAAATTCGGGTGAGAATTGTTTTTTTCAACCAAAAAATGGTTATTTTTCAGTCCTTGTCAATAACCACCCTAACCTCCATTGCTCAGTAAAAATTAATCGTGTAAAACTGAAGCTGTGCCAGGTCCTGTTGATGCCAAAAGGCAGACAATTTAACCAGGAGTTACAGTGGAGACATCTGACGAGTCAGCATCCATAGATCTAGTTGCTGCAGGCAGAGGTGACAGGCCAGTGGAGCCACTGCCACATGGAAACATTCCAGAGGTTCCAAAAGAAAAAGTAAATGTGTAACACATTTGGCATGTCAGGATTAACGAAATAAAACAACACATTTATTACTTTGATTTTAATTTTGAATTCTGCACTTGCGTTTGATGCCAGCACTGTTTTTGCAGCTTGCGCAAAGTTAAGCTGCGAGTGTCAGTGTTTGAAACACACCCAAGTATAGCAAGCAAGAAAAAATTGTGTTGTATTCTGGCACTGCATTTTTATTGATGCAAAAACCGACGGAAATAATTGCCAAAAAAACGAATATGACCATCTGAGGGACGTTCAAAAAGATTCTGGTTTCCAGGCAGAAGAATGAAAGTCAGTTCCTCACAACTGATGCAGAATAAAAACGGATGCAGAATGATGGAGGACAAGCACTTCAAACTCAAAATAAGATCTCAGAATTTTTAGTCATTTTCAGCCCCTAGTGATCCAAACCACTCTGCACCATCTTGGGAATAACAACAACACTTAAATGCAGAAACAGAAATGATTTAGCCCATGTTACTTTAGTAATTTTCTCCCTGCCTGCACTGAATTCAAGATTCCAGAAAGCTTATCATTATACAGAAATGCCCAATGTGGTCAAGTCACACATTAAAAAAACATAAAATGGGAAACAAATTGCACACTCATACGAATGTAAGTTTTTTTTAAGTAGACAGAGGCCTTTAGACCATTAAGTTGTTTGATCACATCTCATGTACCCTATCTTCCCATCAATCCCTTCTCTTTCCCAACACACATCTGTATGCTGTCTCTTCAGTTAGGGCAGATGTCTACACCATTTTTGGACATCTACAGAAAGCAGCAGAGAGTGAGGGAAAGGAAGAATGGTCTAAAAATGAGTGCACTTGCATCTAAATCTCCAGTCCTGGAGAAGAGCCTGTTCCAAACATTTGCACCAGAGCTATTTAAGTCTATAATTAAGCCTATTGAGACACTCTATTCATAGGTGAGTACAGTGTTAGGCTCCAATTCTTTGTTCTTGCAATGGTGTACAAATGAGATTCTTATTTAGGTCAATTCCTAGATTGTCCACAGTAGAGATGCATTTTATTACAAATGTAACATATTATTACTTAAGATACTCTCACCCCTATATTGTGTTTAGTCAGGGCTGCAACTTGGGGTAATAGAGAGCCTGTGGTTGACTATATGTAATTGTGGGAAGAAAGCATGAATCTGAATAGTCAGATGTCACACTTGAAAGTGGAAGAGACAAACCAAATAAAACCATATTGAAAAAGCTTGTTATATTTCTTCCCTTTACTACAATGTGTTCACCACATTGTCAGTCGTCTATCACGATACCTTTATGTCAATGTGTTGATCACTAAAAAAAATCTTTTGTTAAATCTTTAAAAAGGAATTCCCTATAGTCCATTAATATGTATAATCAAAATGCATGTATTGATGCTAATATTTTAGGTGAGACTGTATTCCAGTTAACTCAAACACGGCAGGAAACTGGAATATATAGTTCATTGAGTTAACTGTGGGTTAACACTGAACCAGGATCACTGCTTATAGATAGTTATTAAAGATACAGTAACCAATTTCTATAGGTCTATTTAAAAATAAAGTACACTGCCTTCTATTAGATAATCTGAAGCTTATTTTCACTTATGTCATTCTATGTTTTTGGAATCATTTGTTAATTTACTGAGAGAAATTAATGATTTACTTACAGAGTTACTTTTAAATCAACCAGAGGTCACAGACGCTATCATTTGGTTAAAGCTGAAAATGACAACCAGGGAAGAGGAGCACTGCAACTTTAACATTCACCAGTGATATGAATTTGGACTCTAAGTCAATCATGATAGACCTTAGTTTATAGTACAAAGCTGTCTGAATGCTAAATATTGCAGTCAATTATGTAATCAACAATGCTTTTAAATGGGGTATAATCAAACTCTTGTAAGAAGGGTTTTTTTCTGTGGATAAAAACATAACACGATTACAATGTCTGTCCTGGATTGTGTTATTTAGGTCACAATGACATTCTCTGCATTACATTTGCACCTCACCTCCTTTCTGGGTGACTTCATGGGTCATGCAGCTCTTCTATGCTTCTCTCTCCTCCCATCCTCCCCAAACTGTGACAATCCACCTTTTAAAAATACGCTGAACTGGTTGAGCAGGTAAATAGAGAAGCTATTGTGAAAAGATGCAATCTGCAGAGTTGGTTTCAAAGTTTTAATTCAGACCATTTACATTTTTCTTTAGTTCAAATGGAAAGTCAGTATCATGGTCTGAACCTGGCACTGGACGTCCACCTAAGGGGCAGCATATGTGGCATAGACTCTCTGTCCACGTGAAGAGCAAAGAGGGTGGATCTAACCAGACAGCTGTAATCAAACCTCTAACCAAACCATATCAAAGTCAGATCAAAACCCTAAACTTTTCAGATGTCAGCAGTAAAACCCTTTATAATGTTGTGGAAGAAGATGAAAATGATCCATTGAGGCTCGACATTCCCAACAGCCCAGAAATTATGCTGCAGAGACGAGCAGCATCTGCATCACAACTGAAGGAAATGGAAGATTCCCATTTGTTTGCATCTGATGATCAGATGCAAAAAGATGTTTCTTCGCAAAGATCCATAATTGATCAATTCCATGGAGTTGTCAATCAGTTCTCAGCCAATATTCCTGACGTTAACTCAGTGATCACTGTGCCAGTGCCAGGGAACGGAGTGAAACCATTGTATCAGTCCCATCTGCTACACCAGCAAGTACTCCCACTCCAGATGACAACCTTCGGTCACGAACCAGTCTCGCCAGTTGAGGAAGAAAGTGAAAGATTCAACCTTATTCACGAATTCATATATGACACCACTGAACACCAGGTGGAGGAGCCAGTCATGAGTAAACTTACATTGGAGGACTCTCCAGCATTGACACCACCATCTCCATTTAGAGATTCAGTAGCATCAGGCAGTTCCGTCCCCAGTTCCCCTGTCTCGGAATCGGTTTTGTGCACACCACCCAATGTCACTTATGCTTCAGTCATTCTGAGTGACTATAAACAATCTTCTTCGACTCTGTAAAAAAAAGGATAAAGCTAGAAAAGGTGTGCGCCCAGAAAATTGATGTTTACTTTCCCATTTGGAACAATAGGAAAACGCACAGTGTGCTATAATGTGATGCATTGCTTAGTGCAAAATACACATAAGGAAAATAAGGAGTGAGCCAGTGTAACTGAATTAAGTCTCTATATGTGCCAAACCACTTTTTGTTGTACTTCTGTGGCTAGGGTTAATGGAAACTGAAATAGAAAACCCTGAATTCAGCTACAATTTTAAATATTTGTTTCAAAAGCAAATTTACCTGAAACAAACAGATATAGATTTTAAGCTCAAACAAGAAACAATCCATAATATTAGGATATAATTTATTGATAGAAATCACATTTTCACAGTGTGCCAACTGTGAACCATCAACACAGAACAACTTGTATCACATTTTGTGTGTTTGGGTCTTTATTTGGAGCAAATTATGTGGCTTTTTTTTGTTATGTACTAAAATTGGTGAATGCACAAATCAGAACACAGTCAACAGGATCAACACTGATCCTTGATAGCATTGATGTTTATCTGAATGTTTGTGCATTCTTAGTTATTCAACAGTTGTGAAGCCTTGTTGTCAAAACACTGGCTCTGGGATTGCAAGGAACATTGCGGAAGCCAATCGATCTGTAACTGCACTTCTCCTGAAGGCTTTGATCAAAATAGATCTCATGTCCTGAAGGGTTCTAAAAACATTTATGCTAATATTTAATGGATGTGCCTGAGATCTTTGAATTCTTTGCTTAGTTCTAGATATTCCTTTTCATAAACCAGTTGCATCTTTCATACATAATGTAATGAGCTTCCTATGAATTAGCTCCCTCAATACAAGGGAAATCTGATTATTCATTTGAATTGGTTAAAAGTAAAATCCCACTGAGTCCTATGCTTTTTGTTCTAGCATAATTTTTTGTCAAAAATAGTTTTTTTTTACATACCGATCAGTGAACAGCAGTGATTCCAGGGGCATGGAATACTGAGACTGAGGGTAGTATAACAATACAGAGTGGAGAGGGAGCGTGATAGGAAATGTAGGATTACATTGGCCTGGATTTGGAAAAAATAAATATTAATCTAACTCTGTCATTTTGTATATCATTATGAGAAGCTTAGAAGTTTATATACTGTGTACAAACCTTTTTTTTCAGATGAACTAAAGACATATGTGAAACTGCATCACTGGTGAATTTTGTCTAAACATTTACGAAAATTCAATTACCAAACTTTAGAACCACTTTGTGTGTAACAAAAATCTGTGTATGCAGTATTCAATTTTCAAACAGGGGTGGGATTTTTCAACACACTAATGATGAATTTGTTTGTTGTCTAGTCATGTCATTTTCAATATCAATGTGTTCATCATATCAGACACAAACACTGAAAACTGTCCGGTATATTATGGGCACTTATGTTAATTGTGTAATCACAATGAGTTAAGTATTGTTGCTCTTGGTCATGAATTACTACTTGTGACCAGTTCCTGAATTGTGCTTGATAGAAAGTATGACACAAAGAATACAGTATCAATATGACGGTAACAACATCAATACCTCTCTCTGAATACAGAAAAAAGTCCAACAACAGAGCAGCTAAATTGCTTGCTTGATCCTAAAGACTGTAGGTTCAAGTCTTGGGCTGGTTGACATCATCTTCTATGACAGTAGTTTTAATAAGATGAATGTTGGGGATTTATTAAAGAATTCTAATCTGTTATTATATAGTGTTTGAGAAGAATTTAGTTGCACTTTAGAAACGTGTATCTTTGAAATCAAAATATTGGCAGCTTTAAGAGTGTTTGTGTGAATTAAAAACTAGAGAATGCTTACAAAATATTTGAATCTTTTAACTTTCTATTAACGTTATTTGTGAAGTTGCAGGTGAAATTTGTAAGCCCAGCAGATCTCTCGCTCCCTCCCCTTCCCAACATCCCCTCCCTCCCACCCACTCCCCACCCACTCCCTGCCCAGGTTTGAACCTATGACAAGAGTGTTGAGAAATCAGTGAGCATTAGTACTCCCTCAGAAGTGATGTTTCACTATATTTGTAAATGACGTTGTGGCCCACACAGATTGCAAAGAGGAGATGATCTGATAACTTTGCAAGTGTTTCTTTCTGTACTTGTTCTATTAATCACTGTTGTACTCCTGGTTTCAACGCTCACATTCCACATTGCAGCAAGGATGCCTAAACTAGGACAAATAACGGGAGCATAGCAAATCCCAAGGAAATTGGACATTTAGCTGCAAATTTGTGAAAGCAGCTGCAAATGTATCAAACTCAAATTTTCTGTGCACAGAAAACTTCACATCCACCAATCCCAGTATTGTGGAATCATCCTCTTCAGTACGACCTCAGCTGAGCAATTGTGCAGATAAAATGATCGAACTGTTTCACTCAACTCATTTCAGGATTATTGTGCTTCTATGTGAGACATTTCTCGAATCTTATCCCAGGAGTGTGAAAGCCATTCTAAACAGTGTTTGTTTTCAGTGATAAGTAGTGGTAGATTCAATTAGATATAACCTCCATGTACTTAAAATTATGTAACAGGAAAATTATTGGTCAGTAGTAACTACAGTAGTTGTAATCTGTTAACCGTTTATGGAAAAGTTAACAAAGGATTATTATGAATGTGAATATACAGTACCTTGCTATTAAAATTATGATATTGTAAGCAGCAAATTATGTAAAAATGTTTAGCCAAGGTAATGTAATTTAGCAGCAGATGAAATAAAAGAAGTTCAGGACACCGTGTTAGGATCCTTTCTATCACACAAAGCATGTAAAAAACTACTTGCTTATTTTCAGGTGCCGGCAAGCTGGTCCTGGATAACAATGTGTATTACTATTTCTTTTCTATTTGACTTTAAATCAAAACTCTCTTTTGCATTTTGCTACATAGAGTATAGTACAATATTTAGTGTCTTGGAGAGGAAGTTATATTAAGTTCCATCAAAGCTGCAAATGTTGGTTACAGCTGAAGAAGGAAATAAAAAGATTTGCTAAAAGAGTATCAACCTGGCATTTGCTTACAATTTCTTATCATTGTATTGGACTCTGGGAACTCCACAACTGAGAAAATAAACCCTATTGAATAATGAAACTAGTGGATAAACAGAAGTCTGCTTCTTTTACTTTCTTTAATAAACTTACTTCTTGTTGATATCAGCAAATTGATATTTATCAAATGCCAAGACACCTCAGCGCTATTTTAGCTGGAAGAATGCATTAATGTACAATATATACAAAATCAACTACTGATAACTTAACCCTGTCTTAACTCGCCACTATCACTCAAGTCGTCATATCATCAATATCTCAACCGCTTCCATATAAATTGTTAATAATGGATACTGTTTTACTCGTCACTCCACTTAACACATATTTTGTCACATTGTAGAAATTCTTGTAAGTACTTCTAGTATAAAATTGATCGGATAACTCATCCTATAATTTCGTGTCTCAAATCACAGAGGCCTATTCTATTAGAGGGCCAAGCTGTATCTGGGGGTGAGTGAGAGAGAGTGACACTGAGCGGCCTGGAGCGTAAAATGAGGAACAGCAACCTCGTTACATCAGATAATTCGTCACTGGATTCTTTACCCTCGGAATGATGAGTTATTCCGGAGTTTACTGTACATCTATATTATAGGAATATTTATTTAATCTTTAAATACCAAATTTGGGACGTCCTCCCGACGTGAAAAGCGCTATATCAAATGCAAGGATTATTATTATTATTATTATTATTAAATTTGCAGCACAGCATGCAAATACAAAGAAACATTCAATCTGTCCTGCAAACACCAATTCCATATCAAAATAAAACTTCGTTGCACAACAAGACTGCATGGCAGAATGTAATGCATTTTGTGACATCTTCTGATCTAACTTGTCACTTGCTCTGGCCCAAGCCCCAGTAGAGCTGTGATCAGAGTGCTTATTTCTGCATGGTGGACAATTTACAAATTTGCAGGAATGCCTCAATCACCTCTGAGAAGTCTACTGATATGAACTGTACTCCCTCCACTGCGAGAGGTTAGAGAGAGCATAGACCAGTCACAGATATACACCCAAGGCCAATATGGTTTTGAAGTTAAGATGTTGAAGCACCAACAAGATATCTGCAATGTTATAGTCCAACCAATCTATGATTGGCAAGTGACTGGCAAGAATGGAGAGATATATCCATCCATCTTTAATATCGTTCAAGTGCAACACAGTGATTGGATACACTATAAAATATCAGAACTAATTATTGTAAGAATTGATGTTTTCTTCTGAAAAACCCCAATTTGATATTCACCTAACCAAGTGGTATTGGGGAGATGTAAGATGACTCCAAAGTGATGTACTTGGCCATCAAATCTAGGAATCAAATCAACCCTATGTGGCAATCTCAGCAGTCCTATTCCCAAGACATTACTGATGACAAATCAAGCTCATAGATAAGGTGGTCCAATCTGAATATATAGGATTCCAGACACGGGCATTTCTACAGTGGCATACATATTAGGAACTCTGAATCATGGTGATGGATTTCCGCATGTCTCAATCACCTGGCTGATCAAAACAAGAGTAGCACTAAAGGTGCCAAGCCATAGGAAAGAGAGAAATTCATGGATTTACAAAGATACAATGTGAAAATGATAGACACGACACGCAAAACACATATTGGTGTTTGAAACACCATTGTTTTCCTTTGCTCTCTCTGTTACCTACAAGTCTGACGAGACAGGAGGCAAACTAGGTTCAGGACACAGGAATGCTTGCTGTAGACATTTATTTTTATAGAAATGTAACAGAGGACGATAAAGCAGGGAAATATGTGCCAGCAACGTTCAACAAATAGCAATGAGATGGATGATTGAATTTAATCTCTTTCAGCACATTTGGATGAGGAAGTTATAATTGATAAACACTATTAGAATAATAATCTTAAACACAGGGAATGGAGACTGGAATACTGTATATAGTTTCAGTACAAGAGGTACTTGAACCAAATGACCTCACCTTGTGTTGTAATTCCTAGGATTTTTATAGCCTGATCAACAGGAGAACTCCTTGCTCTTTCTCAAATTAGTGTCACAGAGTCTTTTTGTGAAACTGAAACTGGCGGAGAGAAGCTTGGATTAAACTTCTCATTTGAAGGCCAGATCTGCAAGGCCTATTATTGGCATTGTGATTATGTTTCTTTACCTCTTGTGTGCCTCACTGTTGTCATTCTATCTCCTTTCCTTTCAAATATATCACATGCAGTGTTCTTTAGGCATCTATCCTCAGTCCTCTCTTTCTACATGCTCTCCCTTTATGACATTATCCACAGACACGGGATCCACTTCTACATGTATCCGACACCCAACTCCACCTTTCTATCTACACCCTCAATTCCAGGGCAACTGCCTGTCAGACACCAAGTCCTGCCTGAGCCTTAACTATCTCCAAGTTAACATCAACGAAACTGATCGTATCTTCTTTGGTTCCATCAGTACATTCTCACCCAGCCATTGACGGGCAAGCTTTCTCCCACCCTCTGGAACTTTCTTCCAAAATCCCTCCACTTCCCTCTCGGTTTTCACAACTGGTCTTAAGACCTAGCTCTTTGACTGCACCTTTAGCCATCTCCTCCCCCGACCCACCCCCCCCCTACCATTTCCATCCCAGCACACAGGCTCCCATTCAGCCTGCGGGAGACTTGATCTCCCAACATTAAAGGCTCTGTATAAGTGCAAATTTGTTTGTGGTTGCATGATGTAGAATTTGGAAAAGCTGAAACTTCCATTGAATCGCAGCCCGTCAAACCATTTTGACTCAAACGTTAACATGGTGCGAAGCGTGGCCCTAGAGTAATACCGTACTTTCTCTAACATAGGGTGACCACACGTCCCCCATTTCTATGGACAATCTCTGGATGAGGTATTGTATCCCTGGCCAAATTTGCCCCGATTTGAGTTCAGCAACAAACTGAGCAAGAAGAATACCATTCCAAATCTGATACAGTCAGCAGCAAAACACAGCCATTAATCCAACAAATCTTTCCAGTATCAGCAATGGCGGGGAGTTAAATGTTTGTGTATATATGTCCCTGGGTTTGGATTACAAAATATGGTCACTATGCTATAAAGGCATGGGGGAGAGATGTGGGGGTGAGGGGAGAGAGGAGTGGGGGAGAGGGGGGAGGTGGGGGGTGAGATGTGTGGAAGGAGGGGTGGGGGGGAGAGAGGGGAGGGGAGAGAGGGGAGGGAGAGAGGAGAGGGGTGGTGGGGGGTAGATGTGGGGGAGAGAGGGGTGGGGGGAGGGAGATGTGGGGGGAGGGGGGAGAGAGGGGTGGGGGAGAGGGGAGGGGGGGAGAGAGGAGAGGGGTGGTGTGGGGGGAGATGTGGGGGGGAGGGGGGAGAGAGGGGTGGGGGAGGGGGAGAGAGTTGTGGGGGGGAGAGAGGAGAGGGGTGGGGGGAGGGGGAGAGAGTTGTGGGGGGGGAGGGTTAGAGGGATGGGGGGAGGGGAGAGGGGTGGGGGGAGGGGGAGAGAGTTGTGGGGGGGAGAGAGGAGAGGGGTGGGGGGAGGGGAAGAGAGTTGTGGGGGGGGGAGGGAGAGAGGGATGGGGGGGGAGGGAGAGATTGAGAAGGAGGCGGTGTCTGGGAGATGGACAGTCCCACACACACACACACACACACGAAGTTTCACAAGTGTTTTGCGGGAGGGAGTGGTGCAGTGGGAGTAGTGGTGCAGTGGGGAGTGAGCTGGGAGTGAGCTGGGGAGCTGTGTGCCGGGGTAGGGGGGATGGCCGGCCCGGGGGGGAACAAGGAATACTTGTTTAAAGTGCTGGTGATCGGGGAGTTGGGTGTGGGTAAGACCAGCATCATCAAACGGTACGTGCACCAGCTCTTCTCCCAGAACTACCGCGCCACCATCGGCGTGGATTTCGCCTTAAAGGTCATCAACTGGGATCCCACAACACTCATCCGCCTCCAACTGTGGGACATTGCAGGTAAATAGGACACCAGGAGACAGGCAGACAGACAGACAGGGACTGGCAAGGAGAGAGAGAGAGAGAGAGTGTGAGAGAGAGTGTGTGTGAAAGTGAGTGTGAGTGTGTGTGAGAGAGAGTGTGTGTGAGAGAGAGTGTGTGTGAGTGTGAGAGAGTGTGTGTGAGTGTGAGAGAGTGAGTGTGTGAGAGAGAGTGTGTGTGAGAGAGTGAGTGTGTGTGAGAGAGTGTGTGAGAGAGTGTGTGTGTGAGTGAGTGTGTGTGAGAGTGTGAGTGAGTGAGTGAGTGTGAGAGAGTGTGTGTGTGAGAGTGAGTGTGTGTGAGAGAGTGTGTGTGTGAGAGAGTGTGTGTGTGAGAGAGTGTGTGTGTGAGAGAGTGTGTGTGAGAGAGTGAGTGTGTGTGAGAGAGTGAGTGAGTGTGTGTGAGAGTGAGTGTGTGTGAGAGTGTGTGTGTGAGTGTGTGAGAGAGTGAGTGTGTGTGAGAGTGAGTGTGTGAGAGAGTGAGTGTGTATGTGAGTGTGAGTGAGTGAGAGTGAGAGAGAGTGAGTGTGTATGAGAGAGAGTGAGTGTGTGTGTGTGTGAGAGAGAGTGAGTGAGTGTGAGTGAGTGAGTGTGTGAGAGAGAGTGAGTGAGTGTGTGAGAGAGTGAGTGAGTGTGTGAGAGAGAGTGAGTGAGTGTGTGAGAGAGAGTGAGTGAGTGAGAGAGAGAGTGTGAGTGAGTGAGAGAGAGAGTGTGAGTGAGTGAGTGAGAGTCTTGCTTGTGAGGGTATATCATGTGATCCAGTAGTAGTTCTGCCTTTACTTTGACACAGTTCTTCCATATGTTAAACAATGACAAATCACATTCCGACGTAACTCCCAGTAGACGGACTGGAGCGGGAGAGCGGAGAGTTCATCTTAACTGCAAATGTTTGGGTTCGTGGAGGAACAGCATTGTGCGCTCCATTTAGAAACCAATCCTCCTCCTCCACCACAGGGCCATTTTCCCCGAAGACTGGAACTGCCTGATACAAATTGCACTTCTTCATAACGTGACTGAGTGTGACTAATAATGATAATCCTTGCATTTGATATAGCGCCTTATTGCGTCCTTGAGAATCTCAAAGCGTTTCACAGAATATATTGTAAAGTGAATTGACTGTACAGCACAATCTAAATCCAAATGATTGAGAAACCCAGTCTGAGAAAGTAAATCCAGAATTAAACATGATGTGTTTACGTGCCTACATTTTTAAGCACAGTTCTGTCACTTCTCTTACGTCAGAGTATGGAAAATGTTCTTGTGTTCAAAATCCTTTGCTGTGTGTGTGGCCTGAGGGTTAAATTACCCTCTACAAAATATTCTGGATTTTAAATGGTCATGTGCAATGCTGGTGTCTTTTTTTGCAAAGCAGATGTTAGCATAAAGGCCATGGGTTTACAGAGTAAACAAGGTACTAATTTGCACTTCAAGACTTTTTGTGGAACATTGCTGTGTGCAATGTCACTATGAATTCACCTATAAAACACAAAGTCACTGCTCTATACACTAAAGGCAAAATACTGCAGATGCTGGAAATCTGAAATAAAAACAGAAGTTGCTGGGATCACTCAGCAGGACAGGCAGCATCTATGGAGAGAGGAAAGTGAGTTAATGTTTCAGGTCATCAACCTGAAATGTTGACTTACTCTATACATTATATTGTGTGAAGCACTTTGAAATGTCCTCCTAGCGTGAAAATCATATCAAATGTAAGGATTGTTTATTTAAGTAAACAGGGGTTTTGGAGAGTGCTATCAAGTCTTTAAAGAGTAGTTCAGCAGTTTAAAAATGCTCAGTATCTTTGTCCTTTTACAATGATTACTGGTTTAGCCTTGAAGTCTTTTTCAAAACACACAGGAGGATGCTTTTTTCCTGTAGTTTCTTAAAAGAACTTGTAGCAAACCAGCTTTAAACACTGTATTTAAGAAATTCTGGACACTCTGAAATGCTACATTATTCGGATGAATCTAGATCCAGGTGGAATTCCTACCCATTTCTCCGTCATCAGCAACCTCAGGGACATTGCAATAGGTTGATACACCCTAAATTAATGAATATCAGTTTGTCCAAGGAATGTTAAAGACCTCAACACTCACTCTTATTTCCCATATTCAAATTTAGCAACATAGATTTTTTTTTAAAAAATCCATTATGGAAGCCAGAAATTCTATTGAAGCATTAGGAAAACTTGTTTGGCCCATATCACTCTGGCTCAGTTGGTATCACTCTCATCTCTCAGTCAGACAGTTGTGAGTTCAAGTCCTACGTCAGCACTTCACTTGAATTCCTGTTCTAGGCTGGCATTCCAATGTACTGCTGTGGGAGTGCTACATTGTTGGAAAAATTGGCTGATCTTCAGACAAGACGTTAAACCTGTTCAGGTGGGTGTTAAAAATCCCATGGCATTATTTGAAAAGAGAAGAAAATTTCTCCTGGTGTCCTGGACAATAATCCCCCAATAAAATGTGTCATTCCCTTCGCCGCTGTTTATACATAATTGTTATCGTCAATGTTATCCTCAGATATGGGGTCAACTTCCCCATTTATTTGGTTGACACCCAAATCTACTTCTTCTCCAGCTGTGACTCCCAGTCTGCTGATATCCTGTCAGCTTGTTTGATGGATATCAAGGCCTGGATGAGCGCAAATTTCCTGCAGCTGAATATCGGCAAGACGGAAGCCATGCTCTTTGGCTCCCATCAACGTCTTCTCTCCTGCAGGTCTGAACTCCTCAGCCTCCCTGGGCTCTCCCTCGAGCTCTCCAAACCAGTGCACAAATTAGGCTCAAGTTCAATCCCTAACTTTCCTTTCTCCCCCACATCCGTTCCCTGACTAGGACCATTATTTTCCACCTCCACATTGCCCACATCTGTCCATACTTCACAACCCATGCAGCTGAAACTCTCGTCCACGCCTTTGTCATTTCCTGGCTGGATTATTCTAATACCCTCTTCACTGGTCTCCCCAGCTCCACTGTATAAACACAAGCTGTTATTGAGAAACATTCTGTTACTTTGCCAAAAGGCCCTATAATCAGTGCTAACTTTGTCTGAAAAGATATTTCGTTCTTCAATACAATAAATGAGTTTATGGAGCCTGATCATTGTTCTTCTGTGCTGTCAGCCAAAGAATTGTGAAAGATTTTTGCCCCACCCAGCCTCTCCTTACCTTTGACACTTTGCAATCCACAGCCTTGATTCTCAATCACAATGTTCTGTATGCTTTGACAAGTTTTACAACAACTGCTCTTCCTGCTCCCTGTTTAATTATAATCTATTCATTTGATAACAGCGCCTTTGTGTCAGGAGGACGTCTCAAAGCCTTTAGCATAGTGGCTGTGTCTCTTAATTATACAATCCGCAAATATTGGAGGCTTTGTAACTGTAACATTTTGATTTGCTAATATTCTGCTAGAAATTTTAACTTGTGGAAATAAAGGGCCTGTGTGCTGACTGGGCCTTAGCACTTGTTCCTCATTATGGTGTGATCCATTTTTCTGTGGCTTTTAGTGTGAGAAAGGTTGTTACTTCTCGCTGAGGAAATGGAAGGATAACTGACCCGGTGACTGCACCACTCGTCATTACTTAAATTGTGAAGGTAAAAAATTTCAAACTGGATGGACAGGTTAGATTTCATTTATGTACATAGAGTGTTGAATACGGGGAATAGACCAACCAGAGAGTCAGTGAATGAAGATTATGTTAGCAAATTCCAAAGGCTTTCAGTAGTCCAATTGATTAACTTAAAAATCCTTCGCATGACTTTTAGCTCCCTTCACAATTGCGCTCCTCCCTACCTCTGCAATCTCCCTCGCTCCTACTCTCTTGGCCTTATCCACTGTTCCTCTGATTCTGATATACTGCTTGTATCTCATTCCCTCCGTTCACAATCAATGGACAAGACGTCACCATACTCTTCCTGCCCTCTATAACAAATGCTCTTCACCTTGCCTCCTTGCTCTCTGCCTTCAATTTTTTTAAGGGATTATTACCCCCGGAAATCAGGTATCAGAAAAGAGACAGAGAGAAGAGAAAGAGGGAGGGAGAAAGAAAAGGGGAGAGAGAGAGAGAGAAAAGAGGGCAAAAAACAAGGAACTATAAATCCTTCAGGCCTCATGTCAGTAATGCCACCATTTTGCCACGAAAATGGCAATCCTTGTTCTTTTTATATAAATTGGCAAGAGGACAAAGCTGGGGAGTATCCGTAGTTTTGCTGGGAGCCATTTTTACCTGCAATTTAGAAAGATGCTTCTCAGTTCATTTGCTTGTGCATTTCCAATTTAGATTGAATTGAGTTATAAAGATATTAAAGATACTATTAATCTGAACATTTCACATCTGTTGTTTTCACGGTGGTTTATTGAGATGAACGTGCTGGGAAAGTGAAACAGGTGAGAAATCCCTGGGAAGAGGTATGCAGGGTTTCCTTGGAGCTGAGCAAAGTGATGAAGTTGCTAATGGAATGTCGGAATTGAATCACTCCTCTGTTGTGGTCTTGGTAATCTGGTTCCTGAGCCAGGCGGGTCCGTGCTACTCCAGGGCACTGCTGAGGACAGACCAGCCAGTCGACAGGATTTGAAGGGACAGATTGTTCAATGGGGGCAGGGATTCTTCCCACTCACCTCCTGTCAACCCTGCAAGCCAAAACCTAACGGTTAGGATGGTACTAATTGGATAAGCACTGGGAAGCTTTCCAAACAGTGCTTACAACAGTAAGCTATGCAGTTTTTGCAGATTAAACACCAGCATTACCCTAACCCGCACTCTGGGGTACCCAAACCTTGGCTCTTGTTACCTGACACATACTTTTCGGGAATTAAAAAGCAGAATGCATCACTCCAAGGAGAGAGCGCACGCACATTCCATTCCAGATGCAGGGAAATCTCCATATGTAGGTGACATACATTTGTGGAACTTTCAGTCTGGTTCAGGCACTCGTACGGGTTACAAAATGTGCCAGAGACCTGGCTGATCAAAATAAATG